ATTTCAGTATCTTGGCTCTGCAGTTTTGACCCAGACACCTTAACTTACTTTTTTCATACTGGAATATATTTATGGGATTACGTTCATTTTCGTTGAAAAACATTTATAAAAACTGTTTTGATAAACCCTTATTTTATACAGCAGATTATATGTTGGAATCCTTTTAACCAGATATTTGGCTTATTCCCATCATCTTTGAAAGGCATCTTGCCATTGGTCTCAGTGGGAGCAAAATCAGATTTAAATTTTCGGAGAATTCTAGTACGAATTTGCTGTCTTGCACTCAGATTTCCTTTGAAAAGCCAAACAGTAAAAACGTGTGTGAAGCAATTACCTCCCACATTTCAGATCTTTAGATAAAAATTGCACATAAGGAACATATTGTATGTTAGGCTCATTACAGGAGGGGTTTGTTATATATTTTTTTTAATCCTGAAATACATTTGATATTTGCATATTTCTAGACAAAAGTGTAACAAAAATGACAGATTGGTCACCAATGGAACCAACATATTGTGTAGATGTTTTTGTGTTAGTAAAGGTCTACTCATTTTCTCTCTGCTCCAAAGTTTACTATGCAGTGTCGAATGAGTGCAAACACTCAATGTACCTTCCTATAGTCCTTCATGCATTGTTTGCAGTGTACTCATTCAAAACCAGCAGGGTGAATTTCATGAGACATTGAAAGGTGGTTTATCCTGTGTCTCACATTTATGCCAATAAGGCATTTTCATTTTCTCCAAATCCTAAAAGGTGCTGAAAGATTTTAACTTGAATTAAAACCAAAGAGTATGTTATTGGGAGGTTTTTATTATGCAACTAAATGCTACAGATACAGTGAAATGCCACTTGTTTTTGCAACTTCTTTGAAGGTTTTCCATTATTTCCTTCACTTTTCTTCCAAGAGTCTTAATTTCAGTAACTTTGCATCTTTATCTGAAGAGCTCTAATTTATAATATGCAGGCACTAGCTTTGTATTCTTCATTGCACTTTCATATTCTTGTGTTACATGCCCGTATTATGGTTGCAAGTTTATGTGAAAATGACTTGAATAAAATGTTTCAAGCGTTCTACTTGTCAAAGTATTATACTTACTATATGGATAAGCCAGATCCATCTCTCAGTAAGAAAGCTTCAGTTAAAGTTGTTTTATTGATATGAAAATGAGGAAGATTCTATCACAGTGACATGGTCTCAAAAAAAATACCACAGCTTACAAACAAGAAACAAAAAGTTGCAAGGCATGATAGATTACCTCTCACACTACACAAAGGCTTAACACGTGAAGGCATAACAGGATGAGGTATGGTTCATCTGGATACAAGATTTCCTTACCATATCGGCTGTCTCTAGGAATTTAGAAACCACTTTCAGAATTTCTGCTCCCAAAACTTTAATGGAAGAACATTTGAGCAGTCCATGGTAGAAAGTCTACATTGTGAAGCATCTCTTGTCCCTTCATGGAGGGATTAATACAGAAAAGCAGGGTTAAAAACTTTGGAAGAGGTTGACAACCACTTAAATATCAACTAATGGCATTCTTAGCTTTGAGTAGATGGAGACAAAAATGATGTATCTTTCAAAATTTGTAAAATAAATGTAGAATTATTTCAGATATAAATGTGATGACGTTTCTGTAATTTATTCAACAAAATTACACCTATACTACCATATATTAGAGCTATGAGGTTCAAACCGAATGCTATTCCTAGAGTGTAAAACTCAGTGTGGATCAGAATCCATGCAAATACAAAAATGCAGTCAAAAATGTATACAATCATTGCAGAAAGTATACTAAAATTTATTGAAAATAAAGCATCTCCTGGTTTCCAAGTATCTTCTACCTGCTATTGTACTATCTCACTTTCACATTATATCACTTGTCTAGTATTGCAAAGTGATCTGTCAGCAGTCTAGAATTATAAAGCAGCCCAACAGTTTTGGCTAAGAAAGTATTGCTGCAACTGGATTTTCATTCAAGCCCTATTTCTCCTGATCTAATCAGTCCATAAAAGCTGATGAGAGAAATATTTATGCCTGTTTAGAAATCTTCAAACTGGTGCTGTCAATAGTACACCTTTTTTTTTTTTTTTTTTTAATTACATTTAAACTGACTCTCTTAAGAGATGCTGAAAAATCTGAGGCTGTTTTTTAATTCTGAAGTGAAAAAATTGTGCACCTGAGGCAGTCTAGTAGTATCGTATCTGACAGTATGTACCCTGACTGAGAACATTTCTTCTATGGTATGGTACTGAACTGGAAAGCATAGTTCTCAAGGTTTTTTAAATCTAATCATCACAGAATGAAATAATTTTCCATATCACTATAAAAATAAATTACTAGTCCTTTGTGAGAGGTCTCTGTCTAAACAGTATTACAGATACAAGTTATGTTAAAATCATATATATACTGAAAATGTTCTTGTTATAATGAGAAAATGTTCTGAACTTTATCAACATCCTCCAGGCAAGTTCATTGGGTTTATCAGTTCACCAAAAAATTGCCCAGTTGCACATAAAAAATATTATCAAGTCTCAACCATTACTACTTGTTTGTATAGTGCATTAAGGCTGTGATCCAGGTGAGTCACTAGGCATCAGCTAAATTAGTAACCCATTGAAATATGAAGTCATGCCAGTAACCTAATCTCTCTTCTCTCATTCATGTTCAGTGTATGTTATCTTTTTTATTTTCTTTAAAGTAAGAGCTCAGAAGTGTTTTTGAAGACAAAAAAAAAAAAAAAAAAGATGTTTTGATAAGTCAGGCTTCCTTCAGGAAGAATTCTATGGCCACAAATTACAGCTGTAAGAATGGAGTAAGAAACTTGCTCAAATGCCAAGATAAACCAATGCTCCTAGATCTCTAAACACATGCAGAAAAGGCCTTTAGAACATAAGTTCCTTAAAGAGTGTTTCCCCCTCCCCCCAACTATTCGCAATCTTTAACTTTTTGGTCTTTAATGTGAATCAACTCTTAAAATAGGGTGCTCATCTGCTAAAAGAAAGATAAGCTGTCCATGAAAAACTGGATTATAGCTGCTGACGTCTACCAAAAGAAATTTTTCTTGCCTTTTATTGGAACCAGAGAAGTCACATACCAAACATTTGTCTGGCATAGGATTTGGCTAGGATTTATTTACTTACTTAGTTAAAGCATTAAGGATTAGCGTTTGCATCTGGAAAACTCAAGAGTTTGTATACAGCAGGCAAATGCGTGGCTCCTTCTATAAAATATGATCCTTCTCTACAAAACCACAGTTAACATGTTTCCATGTTTTATTTTGATGCTTCTGGCCTTAAACGTTGTTCCATATGGTACAGTGAAAATAACAACAACAAAAACACTGGGAAATGGGAAGTTACTTGAATTTCTAATTCATCTGAGCAGCAATGCCATTCAGGAGGATAATACATCATACACTGTCATTTGTTTAGGATGCAGAAAAGAAAGCCTAACCAGCTGGGGCAAAGACATGTCTAGATAATACAAAATGGACCAGCTGGTATGTTAGTCTTCAAGAACTTAACACAGGATGGGAGAATGGGCAGAAACTGCTGGGCTGTAAGACACAAAGTCTGGAAGACAAAGAGGGAGAGAGAGAGGTGGCCATATCAGTTACACAGTAACGCTACATCAGAAAAATCTAAACTTGTTCCTGCCATTTGACTGTAACGTCATCCCAAGTGGAATACAGAGGTATTACACATTGATTACATATTCTAGACACATCCAATAACTCCCCTGTGAAGCCACTGATGGTTAGGGAGTCACTGCTTGACTCAGTCCTAAGTATACAAAATCACAAAGAGTAGATGACATATGAAGAGACTTCCAGATATCATTTAGTTCAAACTCACTGTCCAAGCAGGGTCACCTAGAGATGGCTACCCAGGACTATGTCCAGTCAGGTTCTGAGTATCTCCAAGGATGGAAACTTCACAATTTTTCTGGGCACTTGTGTCAGTGCTCTGTCACCCTCACAGTGAAAAAGATTTTTCTTGTTTCGTTCAATCTTCTTTACACTTGATTACCCCCCCATCCCCTCTCCCTGTCCCCCCCATCCCCATATTTATACACATTGACAAGATCCTCCCAAGCCTTCTATTCTTCTGAACAGTCCCAGCTCTCAGGCTCTACTCCTATGTCATATACTTGAAGCCCTGAATAGTCTTAGTCACCCTTTGCTGGACTCATACGTCTGTCCTTGTCCCTCGTGTGCTGGGGAGCCCAGAACTGGATCCAGCACTTCAAATGTGGCCTCACCAGTGCTGAGTACAGGGCAAGGATCACCTCCTTCACCCTGATGGCAACACTCTTTCTAATGCAGCCCAGGAGGCCGCTGGCCCTATTTGCCAAGACATAGAAAAAGATTGTTTTTCGTAAAAGTGTAATATATAGGAAGAACTTCTATACCTTAAGGTATTACAGATTCCACAAGCTTACATGGATTTAAGAGCAGACAAATCTGCACAAAAGAAATCCATTGAGGATTATTAAACACAATAAGCTGCAATATCACAAGATGTGCCCGAGCTATAAAACTGGAAGCTTGATGAGCTGGAAGTTGGATGATGTATCACTGTCTGCTCCCTCTCTGTGCTTAAAGCATCCCTTTTTGACTACAGTTGAAGATACAAGTTTAGATGCACCTCTGGTGTGATGCAGGGCTATTCTTAGGCACTACAAAATGATACATGAATTGTATAGTGTATTATCTTATGCCCACTGCAGTCATATGAAAGACACAAGATTAGGAAACATAACTATATTTAAATAAACTTTCAAAGATTCATTACAAGTTCAGAACTTCTTTCAGTTAAGAAGTGGGAAATGCCCCTGAAGAAAAATACAATCAGGCTTTTTCAGTTTTTCAGCATTCTTTCAGAAAGTGTAAGTCAGTCATGTTGGAGCACCCAGATATTTCCTCCGGGACAACAGTATTAAAGACACTCTTTCAGTTCTTCAAATCTGCAATATAATCAAAGGACAGAGATCACAATTTAACAGGCCAATATTTTATTGCTCTCCAGAAATTTTCACATCATGCATACTACTGATTGGCTTTTCCAGCTACTGGATACATTCATGAATTTGTGGAGTCCGCTCAGGTTTAAGAATCTCTTACTTTTTCTCAGTTGAGATGTATTTGATAATACAGTCCTAGGATTACCACCTCAATATTTTGTATTTTCCCCTATTTTCTGACATCCAAGTCCTGATATAAAGTACATTTTTACATACAAAAAAGCTCCAAAGAATCTGTACTATTTCTACAGAGCACAAACAATGTTCCTGAAAAACATTCATTCATATTAGGGTGTATTTCATAAATGGTGGCACCATGTAATGGGACTTATGAACCAACACTATATGACCATACATTAATCAACAGACAGCACACTGAATAAATGACGCAATCTTCATTATTAATAGATGATAAGTAAGTTCTAGCAGTTGCTATTTTATAGGTTGCAAAAGATAAGGACAGTATAACAAAAATGTTCAAACAGCAGTTGTAACTTTGTAAGAAAATACTATGGGATGCAAACCTGAAAGAATCTTTTGTTAAAATCGCAACTTACAGATAGTCTAGTCATCAAATTTAATCTTTTTCCCTTGGAATGCTGTAATTTGAGACATTTGTTCCCGACGTCTCTTGCTTGCTTCCCATGACGGATGAAGAGGTTGCTCCAGAAATGATTTCTTATTGTCACACTTAGTACCTGCAGCTTTTGCAAATGGTTGCTTCCTGAGTTGTGGTTCCTTTTTAAGAAGAGCTGTGCAAGAAGTCAAAATAAATCATTAACTACATTGTAAACCTTCATAAAAATGTGCTAAAACTACCTTGGGATTGCAGGTATTTTAAATAATTTATTAATGACCCACGGGGAACACATTCATGGCAAAATTTTCTCACCTTGCAGCCCAGTAAATACTCACTTATAGACTGCAGATTGTTATGATTTATTATTACTGACCACATTCAACATTTGTGTAGACAAATATTCAGCACAATCTCAACTTTTTTCTTCATAATAAATCAATGAGATACTACACAATGTATCTCAATATGACTGAAATTATATCCTTGATCCAATGAAATTCAAAATGGAACCATATAGTATAACTTGATAAAAATACTGAAGGAGCTATTGAAGGAATTACTCATGAGGTAAACTACTTGTTAAATACCATAATCTGACACCTTCGCCTGTGCACAGGTAACACTAAATTGCTCAACATGAAGACAGACAGAAAAGTACTCCCCTGTGTAAACCCTACTTTAAATATTTCTAAGAGTAAAAAATAGGAAATAGCAAACAATATCCACAGATTAAATGAAAGCTCAACATTTTGAGCATTTTAACAACAAATGTTAAAGTATGTGCCACAAAATTGAAATTAAAGAAAAAACAACCTATCATGACCAGACTGCAGAGGCAACAAAATCTCAAGACATTTCCCTCTTATAACTTTACCAGATTAAGTCATACGTACCTGTTCTTCCATTTTTGAGAGTTTGTTCTTTAGTATTTCTAAAAATAAAAAGAGAATTTAGGATTTTTCAAAAAAACTGTAAGATGACAAACACCTATGAATAAAGAACTGTCATCATCAAAACACTGGTGCAATGACGTTTTAAGCATAATGTGCAAAATCCTTCCCTGTTTGTTAATAAAGAAGTAAAACCAGATGTATTCAGTAGTGATTTAATTTTGACGCAGGTCTAGTTAGGAATCCTATGCATATGTCAGTGCTAAGGTGAGTATGAAAAATAAGTGTCAAGAAAGCACAAGAAAACTGCAGAGTTGTTTATGTGAAAATGTTCTAAGCTGTAACTGGCTGAAATTCTCCTTGTTTGGTAAGGGATACTAAAAATCACAACAATTTCCATTACTGAGAAGGAGGGAGGGAATGGAGAACGTAACAGGTGGAAAAGGTTTACCTTCTGTTTTGAGATTTCTGATTAGAGGCAGACAAAGAACTGCAGAACACTGATTCTAGCTTGCTTGCTTTTGCACATGGCTTTCCTTCTTCCACGATCAACTCTTGCGCTGTCCCAAGCGCTGTGTTCTTTTCTTTCTTCACTATGTTTTTCTGTAGTCTATCCTTTTCTTTTGCTGAAGAAGGGTCAGTAACTGCTGCTATCTTTTTCTTTCTTTTTACTTTGCCAATGAAGAAATCATCGTTGCTGTCACTATCAGAATCCGATGACTGGTTATAAAACCTCTCTTCAGTACTATCATCAAAGTACTCCTCTTCATTAGGATGTTTCTGATTACTAACATCATTATTTTTCTCTTTTATTGCATTTACTTTGTTCACGTTCACATTTTCTTTCCTTTTTTGGCAGCCAAGTTTCTTTCTTGTTTTATTCTGAGTGACTGTGTGCATTTCTAATGCCTGAGATGAAGATTCTTCTGGAGCATATGCCCTGCCCATTTCTGCAGTTTTCTGCTCAGATTCAGCCTCATTAAGTTCTTCAGCCACTGTGTCAGTTTCTATTTCCATAATCATTTTTGTTTTGTGTTCACATCCTTGCTTTTTTTGAGCAAGTTTAAGAGCTTGGTCATCCAAATTTTTATTTAAACGTTGCACTGATTTAGACTGTTCTCCTGACTTAGCCTTTTTCGAAGGACTGGATTTGTCAGGGTCCTTTCTTGCATCCTTAAAAGCTTTTACAGCAGCTATTCAAGAGGCAGAAGAAAAAGCTTTTGTTGCAGCTACACATGAGTTAACATGAGTTATTTTAATACATTAAAACATTTTTGCAAGTTAAATACATTGTATTGGGTAAGCATATTTTGAATGTCCTTATCAATCATTTACTGAACACATGGGGCAAGAAATACCTTAGAGTACAGCATTAAGGAAAGTGAGGAAAAGAACCTGAAATTATTACCAACTGAATACACTGTAAAACTTGGGTTTAACTGTTAATTTCTCTTTCAGCAAATAATCTGCAGCTGATAATCATGTTAATTTAGGGCATTACTTTGTGTGTAAAATCTGCAAACAAACAGTAAATTGCTCAGACGTAATTAAATGAGTATTTGACATGCTCTGTTATTAACAAAAAAATCAGTGACATATTACTAGGACTTGACTCTTTTTAACATCAATTTTAGATGGAAAATTTGAGTTTAAAGAGAAGAGGTGATAGTCTAAAGAACCAGGAAAGATTCCATAAGGATTCTAGGGACAGTTTCCAGTGAAGTTTAAGGGAGTCATTTGCAAAACCTTTTAGCTGTCTTTGGAAAACCAGTTGTAATGCTCCTTTTACATTTGTATCTGCATGTTACCGTTTTCACTGACAGTTCAGTCCTATTTAATTTAGAGATACTCCATCATATCCATTCAATTTTTCTAGTTCCCACTGTGAACCCTGTTTGTCCTACACCCTGTATCTTAAATGTCATATAGCATACTGCCACGTATAAGCCCATTTCAAAAACTATGAATGCCTACGAGCTAGTGACATTTGGTTCACTGCAGCCAGTTAAGGTAATTACAGCAGATTTTTTTTTTTTTTTTTCCTTTCTTTTTTTTACATTTCTTTTTATATTGGTTGTTCATGTCAGGAATAGACAGGACCAAGGTACCACACCAGTAAGCTGCTGAAGTCATAAACAACACAACATTTCATACCTTTAAGTTCAGCAAATTTGGGTTTCAAGTTGGGGTGTGTTGCAAGTCTTGCAGTGGCTCGCTCAGCTGCTGTGCAATTTGGCTATAGAAAATAAATTCAAAAGCATGAAGTCAAGAGAACAGTGAATACTTACACAGGTCTGTATCAGTTATGCTACAATGCATACTAATGTGATTCTGGACTATTAATGGAACAAAAGGAAAAGCTTATGACACTGCTGTACTTGAATATTTCTTATTTTTCCTATATTACTGTCCTTCTAGATGAAGGAAAATCTGACTGCCCAAATAATGACAAAAATGTAACACACATGTAAATCTGCTATTTTTCAGGTACTAAATAGGGATAACATGATTTTTCTTTTTAAAGCATACCAGACACATCTTTCAGAGCTGACATGCTGATTTTACATTCACTATTTTTCACATGTGCAAAGCAAATTCATGAACCCCTTGGATAAAGAATGTCATATTGGTAGAATGCATTCTGCATGAAGAAATACAGCAGCTTGCAAGAAGTGCAGTATGGATGCCATAAAAGTAGGCAAAATGTCACAGCAGGTATTAAAGAAATATACATTAAATGTGGTTGAGAGGCAAGGTCTAACCTGATCTTAACGACAAACAACCTTGAATTTGTTGTGGTAGAATACTGGAACTCTGTACACTGATTCAAAGAACAAATATCATCTTTACACTTTAATTTGAAGAAAAGGGAGAAGAGTAGGAATTGGTTCTATTTCTGACTTCCTCTTTTATATATTAGAAATAATAGGTATGACACACAGTAAAAACTGTCTCATTTTCAGGTTCTTGTCATCACTCTGCTTGAAGAACAAAATGAGAGGTATCTAAGACTTTTCCAAAGACATCTTTGTATTGTTTTTGAAGGGAGGAAAAGGAGGTGCAACAGGCTTGTAAAACACAAATTTAGCAGGAGGATTTCTTAAAGTCTGCTGTGGAATTCATTGGGAAAGAGGAGAAAAGACACACCCTCCTCCCCTCCTCCTAGTGGTAGTGTAATGGATATATGTTTAAATTGTTGCTACCTGTGATCTGATCTATAGGCTACAGAAAGTACTACACCAAAAACCACCTGAACCAACAGATGATATGCCTCATAAAGAACCAGGCAAGTGCCCTGTGACCCAACCTGAGCTGGTTTTGGTGCCCAACAACTCAAGACTACACACTGCCTCTCCTGTCCTGAGTGACCACTACAACAGATGTAGCTCAAATCACAGGTATGTAAATGTAAGGAATAAGGGGTGGAGATGGTACTGGCTCTGCCCTGGGATGCAGTTAACTTTCTTCATAGCAGCCAAGACAGTGCTGTGCTTTGGGTTCACGACTCAACATTTTAGAGTTGGTAATACACCAGTGTTTTATCTATTGCTGAGCACTGCTTACACAGCATCAAGGCTTCTGTTCCTCGCTCTGCCCTCCCAACAAGCAGACAGGGGGTGGCACTGCAAAAGGCTGGGAAGGAAACACACCTGGGACAGCTGATCCAAACTGACCAAAAGAATATTCCATTCTGTGTCAAGTCACGCTCAGCAATAAAAGCTCAAAGAAAGGAAAAGGAAGCAGGGGGGGATGCTTGTGGTTATGGCATTTGTCTTCCCAAGTAACTGTTATGTGAAATGAAGCCCTGCATTCCAGGATGTGGCTAAACATCTGCCCACTGATGGGAAGTAGTGAATAAATTCCTTACTTTCCTTCGCTTGCACACAAAAGTGAAGCTTTGCTTCACTTATTGAACTGTCTTTATGTCAAGCCACCAGTTTTTCTCACTTTTGCTCTTCTGATGCTATCCCCATACTGCAGGATGCCAGCAGCTGCTGGGTGCTCAGTCGCTGGCTGGGGACAAACCACAACACAAGCACTACCTAATACACCAGCAATGCATGTTTAAAGTATCTGCTTTCCTTGACATAAGAGCGCGCAGTGCGGAATCTTACTTGTTTGTATGTACATTTTCTTCCAGAATTATGCCACTTGGTATAAACAGTTATGTATTAATTGCATAAAGACAGATGGATGCTTCATGCCAACTACTAGTGCAAAAGAGTCACTTTCAGTGATTTGGTCTGAAGGAAACAGAGCAGAAGACAACAATGCAGCTGCAGCAGAGCCACTACTTCTAAATACAGAAACATTTGATTGGTTTGCAAAATGTAAATCTTGCTCCTCAATCAATGTAAGGCAAATCCCATTTGTATTTCTTTTCTGTAGTTCTAGAGCTTACAAAATACACTCTGAGTATGTCTGGTCATATTTTATGTTTGAAGTGCAGAGCATCTGGGAATTCTAGTACTTTCTTTTCTCCTCAAGTCTCTGCTATTATAATGTTATTTGTTCAGGTCAAAAAAACTGGAAAAATATTTTCTCTGTAGTCTGTCTACAAAACTACAAATACTGGCCAGAAGAGACGGGTCAAAAGATGGGTCCATTTCCAAGGGCCACAGACTGGCTTATTTTCAGGCTAGCCTAGCTCTGGGAACTTGAAATCTGAATTTTGATCCCCATGTGACAGTGCTGCATGCTGCCACCAGATTCCTGGGAGAGCAAGCTCACATTTCTGAAGATCAAACGCTATTTTCTTTGGAGATTTTTCTATAGCTGGAAAATCTATTTCTGAACTTAATTAATACACTTTTCCCCTCAGCTACTTCCTGTGGGTTTTGAAAGAATATACCATGAAGTTCAGAAAGCAGCAGCAGCTTCTGTGCAACATCTGGTGTCCTTTAATTCAAATATTTATAGAAAGGGTGTAAGCATATACATGCCAATCCATATGGAATAACCACATTTTTTCCTTATAGAAAAATACTTCACAAACACTACTCACACTGATAGGTAGCAGCCAACAAACATACAATATGACATTCACATTCTTAAAAATTTCCCGTTTTTCTGGTTTTTTTTTGGCACATCCAATGCTCAATTTATTTTTCCTGAAGTATTTTCCAGTATATAAAACCTTGGCAGAAAAGAAAACTTAACAGAAAAACATCAACTATATTTAAAACAGTAAGAACACCCTCTCCCCCTCTGCGGGCCCCCAGTATGTTTAATTATGCAGATACTGGAATTGTACACATTTATTCTCACATGTTTCTGCTGCTTCTTGTATTATTTTGCACTATTAATTTTTTCATTCAAGAACATCCTAGTACTTTCCCACTGGAACACTTTCCTTCATTCAGTATGCAACTGAGGCGCCGAAAAGTGAACAAAGCAACTTAGCAGTGTATAGTCACAGTGTTCAGTGAGAAGCTGTAAACTACATACAGAACCACGTGAAAGTCAGAGTCTCCTCAAACTTTCTCTCTTGGTAAGTGAAGCATTATTTCTGTATATCGTATTAAAGATGTCTATCTATCAACACTGATATATTTTATTAAACCCCATGTGGACATTCAACTGAATTAACTGATCTCAATATTTTCAAATTTCTTAAAATTAAAAGAAATTCCAACTGCATAAACAATCATTCTTCATCCTGAATTGTAGATGTGCACAAAGATGCACAAACCTCAAAACACAACTTGCCAGTTATAGCATAATAAAGCAGCAGTTTATAACCTACACATGTGCAAACACACATGTATGCCCCACATAAGAGAGACAAAGTTTGTACAATTTGGCAATGATTGGGAAGAGAATGGACATTACAAGCTTGCTAAAATAAAAACAGCTTCACAATGCAAGTTTTGAGGTGCTGGAATAGAGGTTAGACATAAGGAATGGCTCAGAGAGCTGGCAGCATTGGGTTAAAAAAACAAAAAAACAAAAAAACAACACTCAGGCAAAGTTCTGTGGGTAGTACCTGCTCTATACAATGCAGGTATTAAACGGAAGGAGAAACTAGGTGTCTCAGGGCCTTGTGGCAGATGGGATTGCAGGAGGTGAAAGTGATACCTTGTTAGCATGGTTGAGACAGTAGAGCTTCAGGAAGAATTAAAGGGCAGAAACCTGGGATTAATTTGGGAAAATGAAATGGAGATTTCAGACCATCACTTCATTCTGATTACTCTTCCTGTTCAAGTCTACTTCTGTTTGTACTCTCTGTGCTATAATTATGATCAATAATATAAAAGAAAAAGGTCATATTTCTGCTCTTCAATTTACTTTTGTACAAAAGGGGACTGCCTTGTTACAGGTCTTGCCAAAAACAAGACTGCTACTAGAAGAGTATACTACTACAAAGACTACTACTAGAATTTCAACTGGTTCAAAGGACATTGCTACCAAACTCGCAATGCTTGGTGGCCCTACATCTGCCACTTTAGATCATCTCTCAGTTATTTAAAATAATGACATTCAAATGAAGACAGAAACACCACTGACAAGTATGCAGTACATGGCAAAAGCCATGACACAAAAAGTAACCTTGAAGCATTTCATACTCAAGTTTCTAAACTACCTAGAAGTACTTTTGAATGTCGAGTGTAACAACAGCCTTATTTTAAGCAAAAAAAAAAGGCAGAAATAATGCTAACCAGGGTAAGCATAAAAAAAAAATAATCTCCAATTCTGTGTCAGAACAAGATGTCATTGCAATACTCTTTGTAGCAGCATAGGGGAAGAGCTGTCTACTGAAAAAAAAAAAAACAAAAAAACAAAAAACAAACAAACCAGAAAACCTGTTAATCCACACGTTCTTCCCAGAGCTCTAACTAGTTACAGCTGTCTTTCATAATAGCAGATGTAGGTAATGTGGAGTCACAGGGTAGCTGAAGGTGCCAGATCATGGCTGCCACCCAAGTCCATCCCATGACCTCATACTGCTTTAGAATAAGACCCTTGAGAAAAGTTACTCTCTGACTGTGAAATGCTGCTAGTTGTCCCTCTTACTTTATGTCTGTAAGACATACAGTATGTGATTTGTGGCCGTCAGACATGGTGAAGATTTTGGTATGAGAGGCAATTGGTTATTAGTATCACTTGTGGCAGCATTGCTGTCTCAGCTCCCGACAGCATGGAATTGTTCGTTGACTGTAGTGTGTTGACCCTGGCTGGACACCATGTGCTCACCAAAGCCATCCTATCACTCCCCACCCTCAGCCAGACAGGGGC